GTCCCAAGCAGAGTCTTAGAGCATGTGCTCCTTCTGGTGCCTGTTGAGAGGCTCAATTGCAGATCTTGGGTGATACTGGGAGTTGGGGATTTGTTTCCAATGTCAAAGGACTAACAAACACAGCATCTTCAGGGAGAGGAGAAATATTGCCTAATTTTATCTTCTTTCTGGGTAGGAAAACTTTTTCATTTACATTTCTTTTTGAAAATCCATCTGCAATACTATTTTGGCAGGGACTGCATTTCTGTTGAACTGGGTGCAGAGTTGGACTTTTGAGCTCCATTTTTGTCTGTCTAACAGCAAAGCAGAGTTAAGGATAAAATTTCATTTTTCTAGTGAGCAGCAGTTACATCACTGACCATTGAAAAGAGGCACTTGTATTACAGGCACAAAAACACACTGCAGACTGGTCTGAAACCACAACTAAACCCCAAACCACATCAGCTCTTAAGGAGGACAAAACTCATTAATGCTTGAAGCCACTGGTGGGAGTAAAGCCTTCTTCATTCCCTTCCCCCTCAAATCAACACAAGTGCAGTTCTATCAAACTCATGACACAAATCCAAGATGAAGTGGCAATGAGAATAATAGATATCACTTCAACACTGCCACACCAGTACTTCTGCTCCTCTGGCCCTGAAGACAGGCTTCTTTTTGGATGACAAGAACTCTTTCCTCATGGGAATGAATCCTTCAAAGCATCTGAGATTAATATTTACATGCAGGAAATCTTTAACAACTTGAAATTCAGTACCAAGACAGACAACCTATATGATTGATGCACCCCAGGCCAGCTGCACCTGACTGGTGTGCTGCATGGTTTTGAAAAGAAAACTGCAGAGGCCTTTCAACATTTTGGGAGGTAGCAGAGAAGCAATAGCCTGGACTACTGGCTTTTGCCCAGGGACATCCCCTAGCAAGAGCCCTACCACAGACCTCCCTCAGCTGCTCCCCTGCAGGGCCCTCAGCCTCCCCACGGAACATCCCTGGCTGTATCCAATATGAGCCAGGGCCCTGCCGCGCCTGCTCCAAAGGCCGCAGCTGCCCCAGAGCCCAAGGGCTGCAGGAGGCCTGACTGCCCTTGCCAACATCACAGCTCTGACAGAAGCTGAGAGCAATTCCCACTGCTTTATACCACACACACACACTTCTCCCTCCCCTCCTGCACTGCAAATCCCATGACGGGATGCAGCACCACTGCTGCAGCTGGCCCTGGGCACCTGCACTGCAGCAAGGAAGGGCCTTTCCAGGCCTAACCCACCTCGGTGCTCATCTCAGCTCAGAGCCTTGGAGGCCCAGCCAAACCTTCCCCAACTTATCCTTTCCACACAGGAAACAGCTTGACACTGCACCCCACTGAGAGTGGCAAGGGTTAATGGCAATTTTACTCACCTCAAGTCGTCTGGCTGGTTGGCTGTTGCAGAGCATGTAGAGGCAATGGAAGTATCTTTTGTTTCGCCTGCAGAAAAGTAGGATCTTAATTATAAGGTCTTTAGATATCCAAACACACCCACTGTATTGGCTTGAACAAGTCTTTTTAGAGCTTCCTTCTCACAGCAAATTACTCTGAAAAAGCTACAACAGTTTATCATAGGAGGGCACATGTGATTTTCTCCACAGTAGCCAGTCCCATGGTTTAGAAAGAGGATTCCCACTTTGTTCTACAGGTTCTGCATTGCTACATGGTGTAGCAGAAGTATAAACAGAAGTGTCAAAGGAGTAATAAAACTGGAGAGAAATAGCAATAATCACAGTATGTTCAATATAACTGGAAAGCTTTGGGGTGGCTTTCCAAAAGTGCATTTGCTCTCATGGCTCAGTCCACACAAAAGCTTCAGCCTAAGCCCCAACTTGAAACACAGTACAGATTTTTTCAACAGCAGCCGGGCAGAATTTTCTAACAGGCTTCTGGAGAACAATGCTCACATCTTTAGAGACTCAAGCACGAATCTTTCCAAAAGACATCCCAAGGTTTGCAGTTACCATGTGTATGTGCAGAAGAAAT